ATGGATTTTTCCCAAGTCTGGATTTGGATTTTATTGTTACACAGGGTGATTCAAAATTCGATGTGAATATATCAAAGACATATTATTGGAGTCAAAATAAGACTTTTCCTTCACATAAATATGTGCCCAAAAATGCACCCCCTCTGAAATACAACCACTGTAAGTTAGGTAATAAAAACAGGATGTCTAAAATTGTGACTTAAATAAGGGACCAAATCTTCTAAAAATTGGCATGCCACTGTCTTTTTGGACATTTAATTACCGTCTTGTGTCATAAATGATGTAAACCTAGTGTTGTGAGAGTTGGAGTGGGGCCCACACTTTCAATGACCAAAATTTGAAAAGAAAACTTTGAATAGCATGATATTGTGGGCAATAAAAAATTCAAGAATTAGGTCTAATACATTTTTTTCATACAACTAACCATTTGCCAGAAAATCATAATCAACAAAAGGGTTAGTCATAAAATTGTTCTTGAATGCTATGGGTTATAACCCAGGTTATACCTAGTGTTATATGCGAGGGGTTCGTCAATGTGGCAATAGGTGTACAAATTTTCGGCAGTACTCGGAAATACTAACGGCAATAATACTAAGGCAGTGGTCGGCAGTGGTTGGCAATGATAGGCAGTGGTTGGCAATGATAGGCAGTGGTCGGAAATGTTAGGCAGTGGTCGGCAATGCCGAGGCTGTGGTCAAGAATGCTAGGCAGTGATCGGCAATGCCAAGGCAGTGATCGGTAATGCTGAGGCAGTGGTCGGCAATGCTAAGGCAGTGTTTGGAATATTCGGCAATGCTTCGGTAGTAATCTGGGAAAAGCGGTAATAAATCAGCAATGAACAAAAATATGGGAAATTATTTATCTACTTCTCGTCAGATTTGCCTAAATCTGGACATTTACGCTAGTGATTTTCAAGGGCAGTATTTATAATTTTATCATTCACCAGCGGGAGATCAAGGATTTTAAAACAGACAAAAATTCTGGAATGTCTGGAAGTGGATGAAAATTAACTTCAAAGATTCCGTCATATTCCTTACCCGAAGGAATCAAAAGTTTTCTCCATACAAACAGTGAAAACTAGTATTATTCGCCCCAAGATTCTGCCCCACTTTTCACCCACCAAAAATTATTTTTTTGTGTAAGAAAAAAACTACGATGTTCGAGACGATGTTTATAGAATACGAGATAGACTATGAACGGATGTTTTTTCTAAAAGTGGATTTCAAATAATTTACCAGAGCTATTCCCAAATCATTTCGAATACACTTATTAATTTACCCAAAATGAATCGATTTTTCCTCGGATTTTTCAAAAAATCAGTGATCGTTTTCGGAAAAACACTTTCCGAGAATCCCAGATAACTAAGATTAGAACCTTCAGCTATTTTCTGTCATTGGAAAAACTCAATTTCGTACCACGAAAAGCGCGGGCGGAAGATACTTGCTTTCATTGTAATTGACGCCGTCTATGATCTGCTGGAATCTGGAAACGCGCGGAAAGTTCCAACGTTGTTTATTTCCGAGTTACCGTCTGCTTTGGGCAAGGGCGAGTACCTATTAGTGAGTGTCAGTGACTAGCGATTACGTGAATTGTTTAAAAAGTAGTGTCAACTCTAAGTCAGGTATCCAGAAAAGGACAAAAGGTGAGTAAGTAGGAGATGAAGCCATGTAGGTATCATGTATGTTCGTATGATGGTAGGTGGTCTTCTCTCGATCTTTCCGTAAATCTTACATCAATACCGACCATAAGTATTTACTTATTATTATTTGAGACTAATTATTCAGAATATTGAGTGCTTACTGAGCAAGCAGTTATAGGTAGTTCTAGTTACATTTGGACATGTATGAAGTTGAATATAGTTTAAAGGAGGATATTATGTCAAGTCCGTGGTTGAGGTTATTTAAAAAGGCCATTGGCGTTGCGCGGTTATTATTATCATGACGGGTAGTGAAAGAGTTTGTGATTAATTTTATTTCTATGAACGTAACATATTAGTATATGTCTTCATATTAGTTATTTACTTATTCCAGCCAGCTGTATTATTACATGTCTCGTTACAGCACAGGGTTCTGCGTATCAGAGTACCTATTCGATTTAATATTTGATTAAAATAAAAAGGAGTTAACTGATTGAATTCCTAATAATACCAGGTGACCATATATATATTCTATATATAATATATATTCTGACACATTTCAAATGCTCATATCTTTGAAACTATTCAAGGTATCGACATGCGGTTTGGACTAGTCTATGTTGTTATTTCTCAAGATCTTTTGAACTGGTTCACGTTTTCACTAAAACTTCCCGTTCTACCGAAATTAAATATGCCATTTTTAAGGTATGAGGCAACTTAATTATTTCATGTATTCACCCATATGTTTTCTCAGGAAACTGGGAATTATCAACTTGAAAATGGCATTTTAATATCCGTTGGAACCGGAAACTTTCTTTACCCGAGTTATGACCGTTCAAACTAACAATGTAGGATCGGAAATCATCAAATCTCGAAATTTCTCGTAACATGAGTTTTTATTCATGGATGATATTTTATTATTATCATTGCGAACTAAGATTATCATTATGAACTAAGATTTTCAGTATAAATAGTAATGGAACTGAAATTTACAGATTTTAGAGATGGAAAGTTTGGAAAGAGAGTTGAAAAGTCTTGAGGAAATAGCTGCTGAATTTAATATAGCTTTACCTACTTACCTCATGAATTTATTAGCTACTACCGGATGGAATGATGTTAAGAGTCTAGCAACTTTTACAGATGCTAATATAACTGAATTAGAAAGATTTGCCAAAGAAGACCTATTGGAGTTGATTGAGGAACATGACAAAATAAAATTCTTTGGAATCTATACAAAGAAACCATCCATTTTTAGAATTGTTGAGGGCCATAAAGTTCTTCTGAATAATTTAATAACAAAATGTAAAGAAAAAGTTGGTATTTGTGAGTCTCAAAAGAGAAAACGAGCTGAAATAGACCGACATGGAGAAAAAAAAAAGAAAATCGAACATATCTGAAAATGTTTCTGATGTTATAACTCTACCAGAAAGAGAGAAAATGAGTGCTGATCATATTTTATCGACATCTAAGAAGTATATCAAATCATTTTGCATCAAGGAACTGAATAAAAGAGATGCTCAAATAGTTATAGAAAAATTTGAGACAATGAATGTTTCAATCGTTGGTAAAGACCAAGCCTTAATCAATTGCAACTTATGTTCATCTTCAGTTAAGGCTCATTGCGTGAAAGCAAAGTATGGAAATAAGTGGGTCTTATCCAATTTTAATAATCATTTTAAATCTCATTTTCACAATGAAAAGATCAATAATAACAAAGGGGTTTTGGAGAAAAAAGTTTTGAAAAATCCTCGAGGAAATCCTAGTATTTTGAAATTTCTGGAAAAATCGACTGGAAAAAATGTTGATGATTTTCAGAATAGTCCTAGAAGGAACGAAGAAATTGAAATGGTATTTGAAAAAGAAAATGACTTGAATAAAGAAAATATTGAGGGAGATATAGCTGCTGAAAATAGAGAGGTCGAATCACTGGAATTCGGTGAAAATATTACGAACTCACTTGAGGACGATGTTCTTTTCAATCATGATACGTCCTTAAGAAATACCTTGCTAGAAGATGAATTACCCTCGATTGATAACACAGGCAATAACATAAACTACGATGACCAGGATTTGCCGTCAACTTCGAGCGTCCATGATTCGTTTTTTCACAGAAGCAGAATTACTAAAGAGGCGACTAATTCTGTAGTATGTGTATCAACGCCTCCAAACAAATCGGCGAATAAATGGAAGGATCCGAAATATAGTAGATCGCAACGTCATCTCAGATCATTGATTATTGATGATGAACATCAACTAAAAATTACAAACTTCTTCGAATTCACTAATAATTTAGAACATTATTTCAGTAGACATGCTGATATGGAAAAAACAATAATAAGAGAGCTCAACAGAAAAACAGAAAGCTCCAATAATAACATCAATACACTACTCAATATTCTTGTGAAAATTTCACAACAAAATGATGGAAGAAATAGAAACTCATTTCCTGATGAGATAGAATAGAATAGAATATTTATTGCAGCATAAAAGGTTAGACAAATTACAATGCATAACACTTATCAGCCTAGTCTAAATACATGCATTGGTACATACATAAGCACAATAAAATATAATCACAAATTATTCATCACTACTATACATTCACAAACAGATTAAAAGAAATTTCATGAAGAAATAAAAAAGAAATAAAAAAGTTTTCGCTATATATGTTCCTGATTGGTGGACGATTAACTTATCAAACCTTACACAGTAATTTCAACAATGTTTTACCATCTGTCAGAACTGTAGAAAGAACTTTAGAAGATAACTATAAAGTTACTGAAGGACAAATATATATTCAGGAATTGAAAGAATTTCTCATCAAGCGGAATTTACCACTCAAAGTATTCGTAAGTGAAGACCAAACTGCGATTTTACAAAGAGTGCAATATGAACCGAGGACTGGAAATTTGATCGGTTTTCTACTACCAACTTCAAAAAGAACAGGATTTCCCTTGAAAAATGAATTGTATGGAGATTCTGTTGCACAAATTGAAGATGCCTTCAAAAATAGAATTCTATCCCGAAATGCTTACGTTTTCATGGCACAGCCTCTCTCTGAAAAAGAACCAGCTTTCTGCCTCTCAATTTTTGGTAGTAATAATAAGTTCAATTCGGAAGATGTGTTGAAGAGATGGAACCATTTAGAAGAACAAGCCAAGGCAGTTGGTATTGAAATCGTGGGCTTTTCTTCCGATGGCGATCCACGGTGTTTGAAAGCCATGAAACAATTGACTATGCTTGGACAGAGTTTAGATGGCACTGATCAGGAATCTCCGTATATTCCTTATTTCCAGGTATGTTTTCATGACAATTTTTGCTTTGGCATTAGGCTGAGGTCGTTACTATAATCTAGTGATTTCAGATGATATATGACTTGAATAAACCAGTAGTCATCCAGGACACGATACATATTATAACGAAATTAAAAACACGATTTCTCAAGCCAGGCGTTGTCTTACCTATGGGTAGTTATTTCGTATCCTCTACCCATATTGAACAGCTCATGAAACTTTTTTCCAAAGATCAGCATTTCTTAACGACTGGAGACTTGCAAAGTAAGTTTTTTTCATCAGACTTGAGCATTATTGTTGAAGGTCCTCTACAGGATAATATGTCTATGCGAGTGTCTATGTATTTTCAGGTATGGACAAAATGAACTTTGAAGCTGCTAATAAGCTTTGTTCAAATAGTGTGATTAATCTACTGCGAGGTCTACTGAAAGACATCGAGGGAAGTGAGGCAACTGCCCAATATTTATTGATGCAAAGAAGAATATTGGAGGCCTTTGTCGAGAAAAATATGGAAATCAATACCAGAATATACAACATGTGGTATTCAATTTTATTTTTGAGAGTGTGGCGACAATGGCTCTCCAGAAATAATTATAGTATGGAGAAAAATTTCATCAGCCAAAATGCCTACACTTGCATTGAACTAAATGGTCATGGACTGATACTGTTGACTCAAAAATTAAAACAAGAGGCGTCATCATTCTTACCATGGTATTTTTCAAGCCAACCATGTGAAAAAATTTTTCGGCAGACACGATCTATGACCAGTACATTTTCAACAATAGTTAATTTTTCATTGACAGATATATTGGGACGGTTGAGCAGAATACAAACTCTCAACGAAATCAGCACAGACCTAGGTGAGTACGATTTCATGGAATGATCTATATGTATTCATAATTTTCATTTCAGGGTCAACGTATTGTTTTCCCAAGGAGCAAAATATCAAGTTGGGAAAGAGTAATTTGTTAACACTATGGACAGGATCAATGCCAGCACAGGAAGAAATATCAAAAATTTTAGAGAAAGCCTCGGAGAAAGCTAAAGATGATGCGAATAATGACGCCAAGAAACTAGGAATTATTGCTGATGATAATGACTTCTCCATTCTGAATATGCCAGTTTTACACAGTGGAAAAAGTGATGATATCGTTCAAGATGAAGACATAAATCAGGACATCAATTACGAAGAAATTGCGGCTGATCCGGAACGTGATCATATAGAAAAAGAACTCAATACTTTGTCATCATTGGGCACAATTAATTTGAAAGATAATGTGAACCAAGTGAAATGTGGACAAGAATCCAAATTTCTGAGAGTTCTCGTTAATGGAAAAATGATGACGTTAAGAAAATCAACATTATGTTGGCTTTTTAGCGACAAAAGTGGGAGGCTTTCGTCAGACAGAATCATGAGAGTAAGAGGTATGTCTGCATCCAATTATAAAAAGGAAAATGTTAAAAAGATTCAGACTCCACGTTCACGTTCTAAAGATTTCAATAAGAACTGCCGCGATGCTGTCGTGGATCTAAATTGTGATTCAAACTCAGAAGACACGACCGATGAAGAAGACTATAGTATCCAAAACAGCAGTGAAGGTCCTGAAGATTTCGAGAAATCCTCAGATTCTGAATCGGTCATGGAAATAACCATTAAAGAAGAGGAGTACTACGCCGTTTACTACGATCTAAGGTGGTACTTAGGAAGGGTTATTTCCGTGGAGGAACATTTTTGTGAAGTTAAATTTTTGAAGGAAGACATGGGTGAATTTCATTGGCCGAAGAAGGATGACAAACAGAGGGTTGAGAGAAACTATTCTTCAGTCCTCTGAAACTAATTGGATGCAACCCATTTGAGATAAGAAGAAGTGATAGACTGAAAATTAATGAAAAATATAAAAATTTCAAACGATCGGAATGAAAGCATTGATTACACCATTATCTTTAAGTATAGGCGGTATAAATAGGTAATCGTTTTCAGTTTTATTTTCAAATATATTTTTATATTTATGGTTCATGTTATTACTCTGACACCTAATGGTATGAAGGCATATGTAATATAAAAGGATTGAGTAAAAAACAAAGTTATTACTCATGTTGTTGCCTCTATAAAAAATACAAAATGAAAGCTGTATCTGTTAGAAAAAAGTTCTTCATGGTATGAAATCTTTCATTACACTTTTTGTATGTTACTTGGTATTTGTACGAAATTTTACAACATTATCTGTTTAAGAAACTGAGTTTTTTCGCGATATTCTGAAACAAAATCAAAATTAAAGTCGGCATCAACAACAGAAACTTTTTTATAATTGCAGTCGAGCCATCTCTGAGTCCATCTAGACCAAATTGAATAAAATGAAATATTATAATATCCATGCATATTTTTTTTCTATCGATTGTAGCGCACGAAAGGGAATCCCTATAATGTTCAAAGAACATCATGCGTTCCTAGGGAGGATAGGGACAGGAGGTAGGTATTGGAATTTTTTTTGAATTTTTGGAGATTATATGTTGTTGGGAATACTTGCACAGGCAATGAATTCCAGTGTGGCATATTGGATGTTGATACACGGCAGTGAATGATACACGGCAGTGAATGGGAATAAGCGACAGTAGACGGCAAATGTTATAGGCAGTGGACGGCAGTGATCGGCAATGGTGAGGCAGTGATCGGCAATGCTGAGGCAGTGGTCGGAAATGATAGGCAGTGGTCGGCAGTACTAGGCAGTGATCGGCAATCTTGGGCAATGGTCGGCAATGATGGGCAGTGGTCGGCAATGATGGGCAGTGGTCGGCAATGATGGGCAGTGGTGGGTAATGATAGGCAGTGGTCGGCAGTTCGTGGCAATGTTTCAGCAATGGGGCAATGGTGTACACGATTTTTAAGATTGACGAACCCCTGGGATATATGCTTGATTAGGGAAGTGATCATATGATGGAGGTCAGAGTGCATTTGAAACTGCTATTTCAGAGGTGTGGAGTACCTACTGGAATACTTGCACTTAGTCTGGAGGAAACCATGATATTATAGTACATTCTTGACTTTTTCTAGCAACCAGCATGTCATATTCACCAGCTGGAATGCCCTCTAGTGTGAATTGATATAATTATTTTTTACACAAATTTATAGGCAATAAGCCACAACACATATGGGATAATGCTATGACAATTGATTTTTCATTGCTAATTAGGAATATCACCAATACATAATTGAGAATTTATGAATTATTGAATAACTAATATTTCTGAAGTTCCCAATCCTATTTCAGCATATGGCAACTGTGCTATGGTCTGTCCCTACCGAGGTCCCTACTAATGAAATCTAGACATCAGTTTTCACTGGTGATACATTTTTAACCCTGGCAATATTGATGATTTCAGCACCTTAAAATCCACCTGAAAATTCTGGAAAAATATGAAATTGAAAGGTATTTGAGTGATGATTCTATTTAAGAAATACAAAAGAATCAGTCCACTGGCCAATTCTTGAGAAAATCAATTCAAATTTCAAGAAGACCATGTGTGTAGGTATTTATGAGTATCATGGGGAGTACTATGTTATTGTTATATTGTTATATTTTGCCTCCTATTTGGTTGGATTCTAAGGAGGATTTTAACTTACCTTTTCTGAATGTAGCAATTCTGCCTCCAACCCTGTCTCTTGATTCCAGCACAATAACTTCTAGGCCGAACTGTTGTAACTGTTGTGCAGCTGCAAGTCCAGCTATACCTGCCCCAATAACAATAACTTTCCCATACTTTTGACTTGGTATTGCCTTTAATCTTTTGAAGATTCCATAGTTGATGAAGCCATTCCTTTCCAAAAAGGCATGAACTCTTGTCAACAGCTGAACATCACTATTGAATGGGGCTTCCATTTTTTCAATTGCATGCTCCAAAATGAGTTGAAGCTTTGGGTTTTCAAGCCACATTTGCAAAACACGGTTTCGAATATTCAGATAAACTTTCACTGTTTGCAAGGCTGCATTAGCAATATCTGGAAAGCAAGCAGCTTCAGTGGATGTTAACTTGTCAAAAGGCATGCGACTTTGGAATGCTGCACCCTCCAGGCCTGAAAAGAGATCTTTGATGATTGGGTCATCCAATTCCGAGTCTGGATCTTCCTTTTTCTTATCGTCTTCTCTCTTAATTTCCTCTTTTCTTGTTTCTTTTTTCACAGACTTATTAGAGTTGCTGGAACCAGGACTCAACTTTTTGTCTGTTAGCTGAAGTTTTGATTTTTCAGGCTTATCATTAATGTCTGTAGGTATATTCTCTTCTGCAATAATTGGTTTCTCCTCCATTTCCTTGTATTCCATCTAAAATGAAAGATTTTCAAAATGTTATAACCTCAGTTTTTGTAGAAAATATCATGATATATAATCATAAATTCTACAAATCGATCGTTAAATTACCTTAACTTTCTTTCTCCTACTCATGTTGGAAGCTGATTTCAAAAATCAAGTTTTAATTTATAAAAATCAACAGGCCAGGCAGCAGACACTATTTTCACCGGTACTTTCCAATTTTTCACACGTTTTTCCAATGTTTTGTTTTCAATATTGTTTTGTTTACTAACAGGGCTGTTCCTGATCGAGAATATATTGTACTAGATCGGACTTCGGAAAAGTACTAGAAATAGGAATTTAGTACTGAATTTCAATTTTCTTCAAATTTGCCGCCCTTGAATTGAATTTGAGTGGAATAATTCCACCTCATGAAAATATGTCGAAATTTAATATATGATGGAATTCAATTCAGCAAAGTGATGTAAATATTTTCTGATATGAAGTTGACTGGTGGAGCGTTTGGTAACGAATTGTGTACGACGATTTGGATATGGAGCAGAATATACTTCTCACTTTTTATTTTCATCGATAAATCGTTGATTGATATATTACGCTTACGCTGGGTAAGCGTAATATATCAATCAACGGATAAATATAAAGAAGAATATTTTCTGAAACCGCCACGGGTACCGCTGCTCCAAGGTCTATTAACTTCTATAAGGTTGCCTCATAGTATAGCATTATGGTGCGGGGGTGCGCGGAGGGGAGTGACGTCAGTGTTTCCCCACCACGTGATTGTAGATTTCGTTTGTGTCACTGTCAAATGAATTGAAAAAATTTTTGAATTTGAATTCGAAAGAATCGCGAATTATAGACTTTAGTTGAAAACAGGGTGACAAGAAGACTGAAGATATCTTTGAAAGAGTGTGAGAGGTTGTATAATAATATGGTGTAGTATTATTCAATGCTGGTCACATCATAAATATCATAATATTATTGTGTGGAGTCAAGAGTTGATATAGAACAAACAAATGTTATGAAATGCCTGTTTGGCAGCCTCCACATGAGATTCAGATAATTCCAAAGGAAAATGATGAGCTGTGGCAATGTGAATGTCCCTGTGAAGCAGGCATGTCATGGTTTTGTATACACATTTTATAGGGATTATATTGACAGGTAGGAAGGTGCACTTTTGATCTATCACACACACAGGTAAAAAATACATGAAATTTCAGGAATGAAGACTTCGAATATGTGAAGCTGCATATATAACAAACAGAAGTGGTGAAAATTGAAAAAAGAGAGTAGATCAATCAATGATCTATTATACAGCCAAACCATTTCAATAGTTCTGCTACCTGCTTATTAAAAGAAGGAAAGTGACCCCCTAAAATCATTCTTCCTTTATATAATTGAAGTTAATTTTACAGGGTATATCAGTCTATTTTGTTTTTTGTTTGGAAGCCAATGAACTCAATGTAAACAGTAGTAAAACTAGCTATTGCATGGTACTCAGGAACACTGGTGAGTTTATTGAATTTTACTTATACTTGCTACTTCATTTTTACATGTAGCAAGGAGTCTTGGGAAAAAAGGCAATCAACTTCTTCTTTCCAAAGGATTTTTCAAATAAATTTGTTCAGCATGGAGTTGAATATGAATCCAAAGCTCTTTCAAAATGTTCATTGAAAATTATATTGAATTTCAAATCATGCAAACAAATTTGTGTCTCAATATTTTCCATGGTTAGGATTTTCTCAATATGAAATTATTTTTCAGGAAGGAAGACCATGGAAATAATTGAAATAAGTGTCCTTACTGAGGTCCTTACATAGAGGTTTGTTAAATAATGTGTATTACATTCAGCTTGAATTATTTTCTCAAAATTTTAGGTAAAGGTTCAGAACATTTTGTGGAACAATGCCATTTCTTGATAGGAGATGGTATAAAAAATGTGAAGTTGGAAGAGAGACACACTTATTATGGATAAATTCAGTTGGGAATAATGGCCCTAAAATGTCCCTAATGAACTTGAAAGAAACTAATTTTCTTGTATGATTCTTCTTCCTCCAAAACTTACATAAAGATTCCAGTTTTTTTGTGATACATGTTGTGTTAATGTTATGAGGAAGATATCTCAAAGATATCCATTATGTTGCACTTTTATTGCATTAATAAAATGGAATGAATTGTGATGACTTCTTTATTAATTCATTTTCTTATTATTGCATTTTCAAACAATAATATGTTCCAAATTGATACTGAAATAAAACCAGTGAGTTAGAATCATTCAATTTATCCAGAAGGAAATCCTCTTTAGTTAATTGTTTCTTGTTTCTCAGAAATGATGGCCTAATCAATTTCAAGATATTTCTTCACATCCCTTGTCAGCATGCCCTTATCCACCATGATTTCATCATTAGGTTCAGACTTCCCAATAACATTTTCTTTATTAAAAAATGCTTTATCAGTAGTTCAACCTCCATATCCTTATTAATGCCAACAGTAATCAGTCCTAATGGAGTGATATTGCAATAAGAATTTGGAGTTTCTGTAATGTGTCTGTACAACAGGAGCACTGAGGAACATATCTTTCTAGATTTCTGTCTTCAGTCTTTTGTACTTGCTGCATGTTTTGGGAAAACAGTGAACAATCTCTTGGACACAAAAACATATTGGATAACTTCAAAATTTATCAATATTCACTTGATTGCACAATGCTAAATTTGTTTGTTTTGGTTTTCACCTCCGCCATTTTCATTTTGCCGTTCGACAAAAGACGATGGGGAAACAGTGACGTCAGGCCAGGTCAATATGAGGCAACCTTATAGAGTTGAATAGCCTTGCCGCTGCTCTTCTTGTCTACATGGCACAGAAGGCAGAGTTGCCGGTTGGCAGAAAAATTATCTAAGTCCAAGATTTCTTCATAATTTTCACATTCGCGATAGAAAATAACACGTCGCCCCACCTGACAGGAACAACTTGAACAATTCTGAGCGGTTTATTGTTATAATATGACCAATTACTACATACAAACAAAAATGTGAACCAATGAAAACAAAGTAAACAGGCTTCTTTGACCGCTTTCAAGAACTCCGATAGGTGGCGTACGCTTATTCTCTATCGTACAGTGACTGCATTTAACCAATTGCATTTAACACAGTGACGACAACGAGCTGGCATCCGCTATGTTTAGGCTAATGTCAAATGCTCTTTCTTTGTCTAATTAGTTGATTATGTTTTTTGTTTTGGATATTTTGAAAAGCATTTTGTTGTTATTTAGAATTATCTTTTCGATAATTGATTTTGTAGTTCCAAGAAAAAACAATATTCACAAAAGATATCCTTCATGGTATGCATATAGTACCATAAAAGTTATCAAAGAGAAAAGAAAATATCATGGTTTATGGAAAAAACACAATAATCAAATTGACTAAGTATTTAACGTTCAAATTACTGCGTGGTCGTTCAAAATTTTTAATTGAAGAGGATTACAAAAACTATATTAATCATTGTGGAACCAGTATCAACTCAAACCCGAAAGTATACAGTACTGCTTCAATCAACACTCTGAGAGATGGAGATAGGATAATTACAAAAGCTCTAACAAAATTTGCAAGATATTTTCTGACTATACTTTCTCTCGGTTTTTATTCCAAAAAGAATTCTTCCTGTTCAGATAGTAACACATCAAGAATCATATATAATAGCATTTGTTTCTATAATATTTCCTCACAAAATCTATCATTCAAAAACTTGAAAATCTTTCGAATAAAGGAGTGGGACCAGATGAGATACCGACAACATTCCTCAATAACTGTGCTGAATATATCGCAATCCCACGACTCTACATTATCTTCAATAAATCTCTCGAAGAAGGCGTCTCTCCTTCAGTTTGGAAGAAAGCTCATATAATCCCAATCTTGAAATCCGGTTACAAACTACTCGTGAAAAATTATAGACCGATTTCAAAATTGTCAATCATAGCAAAAAAATTTGAATCAATTATTTTCGACAAGCTGTTCTTCGACGTTAAGAACATAATCAACATTGAACAACATGGCTTCATGAAGAAGAGATCAGTTGATTCCAACTTATTTACCTACACTGAGTATATTCTACACAGGCTCAATGACAAACAACAAGTTGATGCTATCTATACCGACTTCAGCAAGGCGTTTGACAAAATCGATCACTCTGTTTTGCTACAGAAACTTGCTGGTGTCGGAATAGATGGCAATCTGCTGAATTGGCTTCATTCTTATGTAACTGATCGTTGTGAAGCAGTAACAATAATCGGTAATCAAAAATCTGAATATCACCAAATCACCTCTGGAGTGCCTCAAGAATCTCATCTGGGGCCACTATTATTCAATATTCATATTAATGATATATCCCAATGTTTTCGATTCCCCAATTTTTTAATGTATGCGGATGATCTAAAAATATATACCTACCACTCAATTTCCGATGCTGACGACATCAAACTATTGCAGCAGGATATCAATCGTTTCCATGATTACTGTGAACTGAATAGTGTATACATTAACTTTGAGAAGTGTTACCACATTTCGTTCAGACGCGGGAAAAGCATTTTGAACCACTCTTATCAAATATCTTCTCGTCCCTTACAAACTGTTTTAGAAATCAAGGCTCAGGAATAATATTCGATTCAAAAATGCTTTTCGATAAGCATATATTCTACATTGCTAAAAAAGGTTATAAAATGCTAGGTTTCATAATGAGAACTTGTCGTGAATTTAAAAACACTCCGTACCCTTTATATGTCATATGTCAATAGTGTTCTGAGTTATGGTTCATTAATATGGAACCCTGGTTACGACATTTATATAGATAAACTTGAACGGATACAGAATATATTCATTGATTACGTCAATAAAAAATGCTGAACTTATTATCTCTAGCGCATAGAAGGAACATTTCAGACGTGAAATTTCTTTATAAAATCATAAATAATTTAGTTGATTCGCCTGCTGCTATCCTCAGTAATATTTACCTTACAGCTCCTTTTTTTTTATCGTTACGAACAATCTCAAACAAATTATTTTTTGAACTCTCCAATGCATAGATGCAAAATATTATACAACACGCTGTCAAATTCTATTGATATTGATATTTTCTCTTACTCACTTTCCAAATTTTCTCACATTTTGAAAAAACATTTCCTGGCTTCACATACTAGATTTTGATATATTTTAACGTTTTAATATGTACTGAAAAAAAAATTATTTCACCTTTGTTTGTATCAACACACTACAATCACTA